GAGAGAGAGAGAGAGAGAGAGAGAGAGAGAGAGATTCGTTTCTCGACTAAGAAATGACAGGTCAGTGATATTTCTTCTATGGATTTTTTTTATCGCGCTTTGACCACGGAGTAAACACGCGCGAGCACTATATTCCGTTTCACCTTGTTTAGAAATGTGTTCCCGTAAAACTTGGAAGAAAAGAATCGGAAATATCAACAATGGGCGCAATTGTTGGCGCAGCAATCTTCTAAACGGAAGGAGCAAAAGCGACATTTGGCAGTAGACGCGTCGTGGATAATAATACTGATAATGACAATAATAGATCGGCGATATCGAAGCCAATTTCTCTCGACTACGCTTTTCTTCCTGGCTGATGAGTCGAGTAAACATTGGCCAATAAATTTTTAATTTTTTCCTCTCCTGTTCAATAAGCGATTCTCATATATCGGGTGATTTCTCTCTCTTCTATCATCTTCTATCATCATTTCACAAGAATAAACTCGTACTTATCGTCGAAGTGCGATATTCTTCACTTTCTAAATGTATTATTAATTTTCAATTCCTTTCGATGCATTATATAGTTTCAGTTAAGTGGCTGATGCAAAAAAGAAAAAGAAATCGAAATAAAATTGACGTATTACCGCAAAATCGTTAATAAAAAAAAAAAAAAAAAAAAAAAAAGAAAGAAAGAAAGAAAAATAACAGATTCGATTTTTGCAAAGATGGAGAAAAAAAGTTATGTTCGTTCCAAAAAAAATCTCGATCGATGGAAGCGATAAAAAATAGAAAAAGAAAAAAAGAAACGTTTCGAGAGCGTTTTTTAAGTGGCAGCGGGTTGGTTTCTGGATCGAAACTTGTGTGTAACCTTGAAACTTTTGTACGTGTTCCAGGGAGCGGCGAGAAGCGGAAGCTCGGCTGGAGAAGCGTGAACGAGAAAGAGAGGCCAAGATGGAAAGGGAGAGGCTCGAGAAGCAAAGGGCCGCCGAGCAGGCAGTTCACAAACACTTCGAAGAGTCCCTAAGGCTGGCGCAACAAAAGGTTAGTCAGCCTTTACTGCCTGTTTCTCTCCGGTGCGCGCGTGTTTTTAATGACCTCCAGACTCCCCTCCTCCTCCCCCTTCCTCTAACGTGGAGCAGCGTGTCTAACAGATGCTCGACAAAAAATCTTCCCTATTATGTGCATCTTTAAGCGCGATTGATCGCCGAATTCGGTCGAATATCTTCTTCCCCTCTCTTCCTTTTCGTTTCACAGTCGACAAAATGGATTACGCGAATACTTTTTTTTCCTCGATAACATGTACATGGTACACCTGTATATGTTATGTACGGAGTATCGATGTATTTGTGGGACAGCTTCAGAAGGTCGATTCTAGACACGAAAACAAACATAAAAGTTGGTGTAGAAAAATGTCGGTCGAGGCTTATTTATCTTAAGTTATATAAATGATAGAAATTAGATGAAGCGTTGGATGAAGCGAGACGGGAAGATTTGTGCGATGGCGGCGTAACGGAGACAGAGATATGTATCTCGTTACGTCTAAAACGCGAAATTTTTAATTGCTTGTGACTTAATAAATAAATTCCAATTTTTGTACCATCAACTTTTGTGTTTGTTTTGATCTCTATATAAGAATCGAATCTTCTTATATATTAATATCTTAATATAAAATATAAATTATTAATCTCATACACGTTCATCGTATTTTTTTTAATTGTTTTAATAATTAATTTTTTAAATTTATTTCATAGAAATACGAATATATATCGTAATAAACGTAGATAACGTACAGATTTTATCTATTGATACAATGATAGTATTCGACTTTAATCCGTAAAAACAAATAATCATAAACTATTTATATTATTGCAAGAAAAAATGATTTAAATAGAAATTGAGTTATCTTCAGGAAGGATATAACGAGATATATGTAATTACTTTTTTTCTATAGTTAGATGTATAGGAAGTCGAAGAAGATAAAAGATAAAAGATTCGTTTTAAATCGAATTACATAATATCTCGTGATAAATTCGTCATTTCCTAAAAATAGGATTTAAATTATTTATTGAACTCGTGTCATTTTGAACTTGAATTTTCTAGAATTCTATATATATATATAAAGATAAGAAAAGCATATGAACATCATGTTCCTCATATATTCGTAGAAGTTTTAAATTTATAAACTTCGAGTTTTAAGTATCCTCTAAATCAATATAATTTCGATATAATATCTTTTCGTAAGAACGAGACTAGTGTATTAAGAAGAAAAAAAAAACTTCACGTTTTTCTTCCACAGAAAAATTAATTATACATTTCCTCGAAATCGCGCATTTTTCCTATATCAGATAGTTTACAAGTTCGATTTGCATTTACATGTTAAAATCGAATCAATTATTAAAATTTTAACAATTTTATATTATGTATTATTATCTCTAACTTCCACGTTGTTTGTTCACGTTATATTTTATTTCTTCAAAAGGAAAGAGAGAGAGAGAGAGAGAGAGAGAAAAAATGACGAGGAAAAAAAAAAGGAAAAAAGATACAGTCGGAATCCCGGAAGTTTAAGTTAAGGTTTCTCGCGACCCCGAAAGACAAACACAATCTTGGTGCTAACGAGGACATCGCGATGCGTCACTTGTCGCCTTCTCCTCCTCCTCCTCCTCCTCCTCTTCTTCCTCCCCTCCCTCCCTCCCCTCCCCTTCCCTGACACATGAGGAAAGGTGGAAATATTTTTATCGCGCATTCAGCTAAAGAACCGACGTTAAATATTTAACGGTTGAGCTCGATTATGCAAGCAACGTCCAAGGGCGACGTCTTGGAAATTCTGAGAAACCTAGCAGCCACTTGTTTGCACCGACATTCCGTGGAAGTTGTTGCAAATTTCCAAGTAAAATGTTGGGAATTGAAGCGATTCGTTCATCGATTTTGCCCGATTCCGAGATACTCGAGGGAAAGATATTATCATATTGCGTTGTATGAAAGTAATAATAACGGAAGAAACAAATATAAAAATTCTTGTTATTAATCTATAATTTCGATTTCAGTTTTATTTATTTATTTATTTTTTTTTTTAATCATAAAATTCTTACAATTCTTAATTCTTCTTATGAATTGAAATAATCACTATGATTTAATAAATTTTCCAAAAAAAAAAAAAAAAGAAAGAAAAAATATACTTTCGAAAAGTATGAAATAAATTTTCCTGAAATTTAACAACTTTTATAAACCGTATAACGTGATTCAAACGTTCTTTTAACTTCGATTAACATTTAATCCAAAAACAAAAAAAGAATTTAAATAGGAAAGTTCAAAAATAATTCGTGTTGTATAAATATCTCTTAATATTTTTACAATTATTTATATCACGATTGAAAACTCCTAATTCAAACTCAAACAAGAATAAAAATATTAGATGATCTTACCCCGACTAAAAGGGGGCGGCAAATTTTTCAAATTTTCCTGAAACTAAATCCAAAGAGTGTCGAATACAAATCGCGATATAAAAAAAATTATCGATTTAGCGTAAAATGGGATCGAAAAATTAACGTTAACGTTAACTTTTTAAGCGTTTAAGTTTGTTGCTAAACTGTTCGGGCAAACAATTTAGCAGTAACGGGCTTTTACCACCTCGGCGAATCGGCACGATGTTCCCCACGTCTCGTCGAATTCGTATATGTGTTTCCCTCGAAAACCGCAGCCCCAGTTACCCGCAACTGTTCGAAATTCCCTTTGCCGAATTTTCAACGAACTTTGCATTCGATGCACCAGTGGTGAACGAGAAATTTTCCGAAAACCGAGAACCACCTCCCCTCCCCTCCACCCCCGTTGGTGCCCCGTTACCGTCCCATAAAATTCGCGATCAAGTTTCCCAACGCTTCGAATTCCTCCGCGGTTATTTCAAAATTTCATCAAAAGAACACTATCCGGGTTAACGGCGTTTCTCCAACCCTCCCATTCAATTTCACGCTACCTTTCACGTATTTTCTTGCGCGGAAATTCGTAAATCGTCGATTAAATTTCGAGGCAATATTTAGAATTTTGGAACAAGTTTATAACAAGGGTATTGTTGAATTGCTTGTTTAAAACGCTTTGAAAAATATTTTGAATTTATTCATCATTTCGTATTTTTATAGAAATTTCGAACTCTTCGATATTTAGTTTTTTCGCCGATTTTATTAGTGAAGAGAATTCAGGTGATAAAAATTTTCTGTATTTAAAATTTTAAATTCGATTGAAAATTGTTGCTCAACGAGATATATTTCAAAATCTGTTTAAGATCGAAGAAAATACTTCGAGAAGTTTAAAATATAGAAATAAATGAATTTTCTTCGCTTCGTTTTTGAATATACAGCGTATATACGATAAAGAAAAATTTTGGTAAATAATTCTCTAATTTTCTTCAAATTGCAAAAAAAACGTTCCATTGAATAAGAATCGTCATTTAAACATGGAGAGAATCGGGGAATGGAGGAAAGTGGGGCGAGTTTAGTGGTTAGACGAAACCACCCCCGCCGTCGGGGTGAAAATACGGATAATCCCCCTCTGAGCAGCTCGCAGATCGCATTCTCCAGGGTCTTTTCAGCCTCTCGTCCTGCGTTTCCCTGGGAGAAAAGGGTGTGTTCCCATAGCAGATACACGGGCGGTAGAGGGATACCGAGAGGGGGCAGAGGCAATCAATGCATTCCAGCACCTGCCTTTTGTGCGTGTTACAGCTCTGACAGTCACCCAAAACCTGCCTGGCCCCGCCACGCTCTCTGTGTATTTTGCTGCCTGGTGCGCGCCCCGCAGCGTCTCTCATTTCTTCTTTTTTCTTTTCTCTCTCTTTCCCTCTCTCTCTCTCTTTTAGAGCAGTAGCAGACTTGTTCTCTCTCCATTCGGCCCCATTTACGACATCTGTCCTCCTCGTGTCTCAAGGTCTGACCAAGCGTTGACTAGTTCACGGATAGTGTAGTATCGTTCAACTGCTAATTTCGATGGAAAGTGTGTTACACGACATGGAACTTTTCCATCGTGTTTTACGAGGCTATCGAGGACATCGAAACTTTGGTCAACTCAATTACATTTCTTTCTGATTGTTTTTCTTTTTCTTTTTTTTTTTATTCTGTATTTTATATAATAAGTTTTTTGTTAAATCTCTGATAAATGTATATATTTCTTCAATAATTCTGAATATAGGATACGATAGAGATGAAAATAATACGTAGGAAAGGGGAACAAGTTGCAATTAAAAGTAAAGGTAAAAACGAGAAACGAGGAAAAATCGTAATGAGAATAGAAAACGGTTTCTCCTCGTTTATGTAGAGGTATTAAAATTTTGTTTCATAGTGTTTAATAATTCTCAATTTGTTTTTCTCAATTTTACTTACGTGCAAGATTAACTTATTCGAGTTATCAAATGATAAAACACGATGTGATCAATCAATATATATTTATCTTTGTTGCAAAAAAACGTAACCTCGTTATTTCGTAATTTCCTGGATTTTTATTTGAAAAATCTTACGCAACAAAGATAAACGAGAAACCTGAAATCTAAGCTGGCAGGCTATTCCTACGTTTTATCTCTTATCGAGCATCGTACGAGCCTCCCACGCCATTCCTGTTTTCGAGTCGACATCGATTACCATCGTTGAGAAAGCTTTAACGACCGATAATGAACCTTTGGAACGGATGAAAGGAGGCGAGCGAGAAAAGGACAGGGAATCCCATTTCATAAGAGAAGTTGAGCACCGCTGAGGACACAGTGCAGACACGAATAAACCAGAAAGGTTTCTTTCAGGTTAGGCCCCAGGAGCCTACCTGCCCTTCCACCCCACAAAAATGTCCTGCCCAGTCGTTCGCGAGCTTTCATCCCGTTCACACGAATTCTTCGAAAAATATCCATGAATCACCATTTCAATCCACGTGTAAATACGATTCGAAAATTCCCCACCGTAAATCACGTATTCCGCTCGTCACCGCATAGATAAATCTCGATAAAACCAGCGAGTATTGGCCAAGTGTTTTCCATTTCGTGGCTCGGATAAAGCGTGATCCGCGTGTGT